CAACACTACTCCATGAACTTCGAACGTTTTAGGAAACCTTGGAACGTCCTAAACTACCCACAAAACCAGAACACACAGGAGAGACACTAATCACGATTCTTTTATGTACAGATTCAACACTACTCCATGAACTTCGAACGTTTTAGGAAACCTTGGAACGTCCTAAACTACCCACAAAACCAGAACACACAGGAGAGACACTAATCACGATTCTTATATGTACAGATTCAACACTACTCCATGAACTTCGAACGTTTTAGGAAACCTTGGAACGTCCTAAACTACCCACAACACCAGAACACACAGGAGAGACACTAATCACGATTCTTATATGTACAGATTCAACACTACTTCATTTCCATTGTCTCGTGAGAAAGCTTTCGTTCAACGCTTCGAGTTGAATTAGCTTGAACAATAACCTTTACAAAAAGAGGACACTCCCGACTTCACAATTATAGCTTGTTTAATGGTTTGACAACCGAGGGAATAAAAATAACAGAAAATAAGTCACAAGATAAAATAGATATAAACACGAAAATTAAATTAATTTTATTTTAAATCAAGAAAGGCTGAAGCATAGATACATTATAATTACTACTTACTAGCAAGATTACATGATTTTTCTAATTACTCTGACGTCGCTGAAACCGTGTAAATTGGTTTAATTTCTTAACATGTCAAACATCTGGATCGAACAGATATTAGCAAGAATACTGACACACAGCTGTATAAGTGGATGAAATAGAATTGAATAACTGAAATCATCCATTTTAGTAAGGTATAATCCATAATCGAAATCGTATTATGTACACCAAATTATACATAATATTATGTACAGCATTATGTACACCATATTATATACAACATTATGTACAGCATTATGTACACCATATTATATACAACATTATGTACAGCATTATGTACAACATTATGTACACCATATTATATACAACATTATGTACAGCATTATGTACACCATATTATATACAACATTATGTACAGCATTATGTACTATATATTATATACAACATTATGTACAGCATTATGTACACCAAATTATATATAATATTATGTACAGCTTTATGTACACCATATTATATACAACATTATGTACAGGATTATGTACAACATTATGTACACCATATTATATACAACATTATGTACAGCATAATGTACACCATATTATGTACAGCATTATGGACACCATATTATGTACAGCATTATGGACAGCATTATGTACACCATATTATGTACAACATTATGTACACCATATTATGTACAGCATTATGTACACCAAATTATATATAATATTATGTACAGCATTATGTACACCATATTATATACAACATTATGTACAGCATTATGTACAACATTATGTACAGCATTATGTACACCATATTATATACAACATTATGTACAGCATTATGTACACCATATTATGTACAGCATTATGTACACCATATTATGTACAGCATTATGTTCACAATATTATATACAACATTATGTTCACCATATTATATACAACATTATGTTCACCATATTATATACAACATTATGTACAGCATTATGTACACCATATTTTATACAACCTTATGTACTATATATTATATACAACATTATATACACCATATTATGTATAACATTATGTACACCATATTATATACAACATTATGTACACCATATTATACACAACCTTATGTACTATATATTATATACAACATTATATAGAACATTATGTACACCATATTATGTACAACATTATGTACACCGTATTATATAAAACATTATGTACATATTATATAGAACATTATGTACACCATTATGTACACAATATTTGTATTTTATAAACCCTATTACACAAATACATAGAAATTGAAGTTCAAAGAAGCCGAAATTAAGAACGCAAACACTTGTATCTTGCTAAGAAAATCAACTCATGAGCAATCAATATGAAACAGTTTGTGTCTCCTGATAACGGAAGGATGGATGTAGCTTTTTGTGAGTATAAACTTCATGAAATTGATCTTTTAGACTTATCGAACAAGGTCTCGTAACCGAAACTTGTCAAGTTTAGCAATGCAAATTAATAGGGGAAAATGCCCCCACACGATTCACAAAGAACGTTTCGATAAACCAGAAATTAACAATGTTCACACTCTTCAGTGTTAAGGTAATGTCTTACCTTATTGACTTGATTGACGTTACAAAAAGCACTAATTAGAATTCTGAAGACGCCAGCATGTCCACTCCGGGCTGCTGTATGGAGGGGGGTATCCCCGTACTGTAAACATAAAAGATAATCAAAAGACACTTGAGAGACTGCATATCTAGCTTTAAAATGTGTTCGTTTTATTACAATGTGACAAATAGCACAAATAGAGATTCTGAAAATCACTCTATGCTCCGTATTAGGCTGCCGTACGAAGGGAGTATCTCCGTATTGGAAATATAATAATACTTAGAAAAGAAACATGTGAGAACTTCGAAAATCCATGAAGCTTTACAAAAATATTGATTTAACTTCTACTTAGGATTTATGCAATGTGTTTATTTTTCAACTATAAGGACTGGGACTATACAGTGTAACTCTGTACATCTGCAGGCTTACAGCAATGTTCGTTAAACTCAGATATATCGTAATGATGTTCGAGTCCCGTGAAATCCTGCGTTGTCTGCACACTGTTTGTTAATTTATTTATTTAAATAAATTACGAGTTTTTTTTCTTCCTCCTTTAAACGAGCTTAGATTAAATATTGAAACTAAGTGAATACACTGTATTGTTCTTATCGTATTACAATAAAAGCTAGTTGCAAAGTTACATTAAATATTGAAACTAAGTGAATACACTGTATTGTTCTTATCGTATTACAATAAAAGCTAGTTGCAAAGTTACATTAAATATTGAAACTAAGTGAATACACTGTATTGTTCTTATCGTATTACAATAAAAGCTAGTTGCAAAGTTACTGTGCCATACAACAATCCAATATTTAATTTTCGTGTTATATAGCAATCCAGTTTGTATTGTACATTGTTTGTGTTATATAACAATCCAGTTTGGTATTGTACATTGTTTGTGTTATATAACAATCCAGTTTGGTATTGTACATTGTTAATGTACAATACAAAAGTGGATTGTTATATAACACGGACAATGTGTAATACGAGTCTTTATTGTTATATAACATGAACAATGTTAAGATGTAAATATCTAGATAGTTTTTACAATACAAATTAAAAGCTTATATTCAACGTCTCGTTCTTCAACAAGAGTGAGACATTGTTCCCCTGAGATCAAGTTCGTTTTCTTTAAATAATCAGGTTATTTACTGGTTCTAACGAAGTCGACACCATTTACGATACCCAGAAGGGTTGATCTACAGAAAACAACATTTCATACGACTCCGAAAAAAATGTTAAATTAACAAAAATATTTATTTGATAATTGAAATTACTTTAAAATTATTATTTCAAGCTAAGAAGCAAATAAACACATTAATAACAACCAAATACGTTAACATTTCAAGTATCCCTGTTGGTTTAACGCAGTGTTTCTCAGCCGGATTTGCCAGACGACCCCGCGTCCGGACGTTGGTCGTCACGACCCCTTCCCCCATTATATCTACAAGGAAGAAAAAAAATCTTGATGTTTCTTGGCGCAGTTCATAACAGAGGTAATATGTGCACATCACAGACACCTCGAGGACTTGTGCCCCCCTCCCCCCTGGAGTCCTGCTCGCGACCCACCGTTTGAGAAACACTGTTTTAGAGTTAGTTTGTGTTGTGACAGCATTATAAAATATGCACGTTAAGACCTACGCGTAATTCTCATTTGACGGACAACACGTGTTGGTCTGTGTTCTAGAATGTCTGTTTCCGTCTAACTTACGTTGTTTTTTACATCTGGGTTACAGCCAGCCATCAGTAACACTCTGCACGTTTGGTTGTGGCCATTCTGACAAGCCAGATGCAGAGCAGTGAACCCTCCCTGTATAAAAAAAATAAAATAATAATAAATACTCGAACATATTGTAATCTCATTGTCTTTAAATATTATTCCTTATACTACTTAAATATATTTTTATTTACATATATAATTTTTCCAAAGCTCCTGTATAAAAGAATTGTCGTTGTTTCATTTTTCTGTTTGCTTGTTGAAGGTTCTTTGTGTCATGTGATGACTTCACATTCACCCCAAACAACGAGATACTATGACGTTGTATAGTGGTTAGCGTGCGTGCCTCCAGGTGTAAGGATTGTGTCGTGATTTGTCGCTGAACACGCTCTGCGCAGTCAGCTGTTAGAATGCTACTATTGTGACAGTTCATTTATTAGTAAAAATCTGTACAATAGACTAACTGTTCTGTGCCCACCGCAGGGATGAAACCCTGAACTTTAGCGTTATAAGCTCTAAAGCTTACCGATGAGCCACTGGGAGTTACCATGACAGTGAATCCCCCATTATTTGTCTGAGTGTACTCACATGAGAGGCGGTAAATAGCGGTGGCTGTGCCCTCTCTCTCTGGTCAGCAATTCTAAATAACGGATGACTTTAACGCATAGGGGAACAGTCCGATAACTCAGTAACATGTGTGAACACTCCTTAAATCAATGTGACCTCCCAGACCAACGAGTTGTAGACACATTTTAATCCACTATCAAAATTTACAAAACGTTTCCATAAAATGTACATTACCCTGTTAATTAACAATTTCTTGGAGAATTTACCTTGGTTTCCAATAATCATTTTACGGATCCAGAGGTTTTTACTTCTTGGATGAAACATTATTTTTAGGAGATAGTTAAGTACTCGATACATGAGTTGATGAAAAACAATTAAATTCATGCAATCTCTTTACAGGTACAAGTAATGCTTGAAGTAATCCCACTCCTTTTGAGGAGGGCCTCACACCATCCCGCTAACTTTTAGTAAACTGTAAGCTTATCAGAAGGGAAAGGTTCAATAGATGATATGATGAATATTCACGGCGATAAGGAACTGGGGGCATTTTTTAAATGTCGTGTAAGAGGGAAGCAGGAATGATACAAAGTAGTACAGGGATGGAGGATGGAACAAATGAACCCTCTCGCTATTGACTCATTTGGTATGACCGAGTTCGTAACCAAAAGTAACCATCAGAGTTTCCATACTGTTACGACAGCGGAAGTCACGTGACGCTGGTAGCACGTCATGATATTCTCGAAGGTTCGTGAATGCTCGAGTGTTTGCTAGATGTGCGGTATTATTGTATATAAGTGCGCCAGACGATGAACCGATATAGAATTGCAGACAGGAAGAGATAGAGACGGACAATTGAGTCAAGCGCGGTAGTGACCGTAAGTAATGTGCGTGAATCGTTGTGAATTATAGTGTGTGTTGAAGTTAAAGTGACTGTGGAAATTAAGTGTATTGCAAAGTTGTATTGAGAAAGAATAAACTAGCTTTATTTAAGAAAGGACTTGTGTCGCTAAAGTTTTATCCGAAGAAATTATACGGGAAATTAACAAACGACGAGAAACGTGACAACACTATGACTTATAACATGTTATCGTTTTATTGACCTTTGGACCGCGTCTAACTAATAATACCGCCAGACAAGTTGTAAATCACTAGACGAACGTGCAGCTCACGTTATCGCATTGAATTACATAACGCACGGGCTGCTCGTGAGAATACCTGGTGAGTAATCACTATTATTATTATTTGTGTTACCTAATCTAACCTTACAAGTTTCTGATTTTCACACATTAGTTACTTTTATTGTAATAACTAAATAATACACACGAAAAACAAGATATAGTATTGAGCTTCAAAAAAGTTCACAAACAATCCAGATTTCTCTCTCCTTCCTCTTCTGGAACTGATTAGAAACATATACGTACACTAATATGCAGTCTACTTATAAGTGGAAGACTGCGCTTACGTTGTCTGTTTATGCAGTCTTATCAGGGCGGTTATTTCTCAAGAAATTCGTGAACCGTTCAAAAAGCAGTTATTTTCTGAGTCGTTATTTTCACCTCATATGAAACCTCTTTCCAGAAACTGAAAATAATGCAAATTCCAGCAAAAGAAGAAGTTAACCCTTATCGATACATACAGTGGTGCCCTCTGGCAAAAGACCATGATGGTATTATTGTCTTGTACTTCAATATTACATCTAATGAGGACCGTACACTTTAAATCACTGATAAAGAAATATATGAATTTTAAGAAAAAGAATTGAGAAATTTTGCTATAATACTAAAATTGGCATTATAATTTTAATTATCAATTACTGTCTACTAATCGAACAAAAATATCAATATACCTGTTTCTGTATTTTTACTTTTGGTCTTGGTTCAACAAAAAATTTTGTACGTCATGCCATCTAGTGCTCAAATATGTAAATATAAAATGCCAATTTTACATGTAAATAGGTGTTTAAGTATTTCGTGATGTATAACTACTAAATATTTGAATATAAATATATCTCAGATAATAAAGACTTTTGAACATATTTTATTACAATTTCAACACTATCAGTCAGTATTCTCGTTATAACATATGACGGAATAAAACACATACTGACCTTGTTTTTAATGTATATATTAGCCTTGTGTTTACAAAGTGCTTCAACTGTCTGACTGTATCCTTTCCAAGAGGCTTCATGCAGAGCAGTGTTTCCATGCTTTGAAAATAAAAGAATTGAAAAACGAAATATTTAAACAGCTAGAACAAGAAGAGATGAACTACCATAATATTATTAAAAGAAACTAAATTAGGGAACATTCTATTAATTTATTAGGAATTTTTAACGTTTTCATTTTTGCATTTTATGCTAGTTAAACCTGTATAGTCTGAAGTAACGTAGAATTTTTATTTTTCCTTTAAATTCTAATGTTAATAAACTTTCTCAACATAAGTCTGAAATGTCTAACCGCTAAAACCTTCGGAACTTTGTACATCATAACGTATCTGTTTGGTGTACCAAAACATATCCGTTAGGTGTACCAGGACACATCCGACAAGTGTGCCAGAAATATCATTGGATGTATTAACATATTAGTTTGTTGTATTATAACATATCCGTTAAGTGCATCAGAACATATCTGTTGTATGTACTAGAACATATCCGTTAGGTGTTTCAGAACATATCTGTTGTATGTACTAGAACATATCTGTTGTATGTACTAGAACATATCTGTTGTATGTACTAGAACATATCCGTTAGGTGTATCAGAACATATCCGTTGTATGTACTAGAACATATCCGTTAGGTGTATCAGAACATATCTGTTGTATGTACTAGAACATATCCGTTAGGTGTATCAGAACATATCTGGTTGTATGTACTAGTACATATCCGTTAGGTGTATCAGAACATATCTGTTGTATGTACTAGAACATATCCGTTAGGTGTATTAGAACATATCTGTTGTATGTACTAGAACATATCCGTTAGGTGTAACAGAACATATCTGTTGTATGTACTAGAACATATCCGTTAGGTGTATCAGAACATATCTGTTGTATGTACTAGAACATATCCGTTAGGTGTATCAGAACATATCCGTTAGGTGTATCAGAACATATCTGTTGTATGTGCT